AAAAAAAAAAAAAAAATTATCCAGGTGTGGTGGTGCGCGCCTGTAGCTCCAATTATTCAGAAGGCTGAGGCAAATGATCACTTGAGCCCAGGAGTTCAAGGCTGCAGTGAACTATGTTGGCACCACTGCACTCCAGCCTGTGCGGCAGAGTGAGACCCTGTCTCTAAAACAAGAAGAAAGAAAGAAATGAGATTGAAAAAGAAGAAAAAGAAGAAAAATAAGAAATGAGAAGGCAAAATTATTTGCAGGTGACTGTATATATGATAGGCCCAAGCAATGTGACTAAAGATATTTCAATAAAATAATTCCGTAAGCTAGCAAGAGACTTAGTTATTTAAAAATTCATTTCTTGTATACTATATATGTATATAGCTTTAAAATGTATTAAAGCATCCCATTTATAGCAGCAATAAAAAAAGATACACTGCCTGGTTACATGAATTTTCTTGACATTTGAAGAACTTTTTTTGGAGTCTCACTCTGTCACCCAGGCTGGAGTGGTACAGCGGCACAATCATGGCTCACTGCAACCACCGCCTCCCAGTTTCAAGTGATTCTCCTGCCTCAGCCTCCTGAGTAGCTGGGATTACAGGTGCATGCTACCATGACTGGCTAATTTTTGTATTTTTAGTAGAGACGGGGTTTCACCATGTTGGCCAGGCTGGTCTCGAACTCCTGACCACAAGTGATCCACTCACCTTGGCCTCCCAAACTGCTGGGGTTATAAGCATAAGCCACCTTGCCCGGCTGACATTTGAAGACCTTCTAAAAATCAACAAGCAAAAACATTTGCAGGATATAACAGGAAAAGACTTATGCAAATCTTTCTAAATTTTTTCACTTCATGCAACTAGGCGTATTTCCTGGTTTGTTTCTTTTGTTGTTTTGAGAGTATTTTCGCTCTTGTTGCCCCGGCTGCGAGCTGCCAATGGAGAGTCACGCCTCACGCAACCTCACCTCCCAGGTCAAGGCAATGTCCCACTGGCCTTGGCCCTCCCAGTAGCTGGGGATTAAGGCATGCCCGCCCACCCCCGGGCTAATTTGTTTTTTAGTAGAGACGGTTCTCCATGGTTGGTCACGCGGGTCTTGAACTCCCGACAGACTCAGGTAATCCTTCCGGCCTCGGCCTGCAGCCATGGCTGCGGATTACAGGGCCATGAGCCACCGCCGCCCGGCCCTTTTTTTTTTTTTTTTTTTTTTTTTTAAGACAATCTCTCAACTGTCGCCCAGGTTGGAGTCTGCCTGGCGCAATCGTTGGCTCACTGCATACCTCTGGCCTCCGGGGATCAAGCGTTTCTCCTTGCCTCAGCCTCCCAGTGCTGGGATTTACAGGCACCTGCCACCACACCTGGGCTAATTTTTTGTGAGTAGGAGACGGGTTCATTATTGGTTGGCCAGGCTGGTCGTCGAACCCTACTCCTGACCTCGTGGATCTGCCCACCTCAAGCCCCCAAAATGCTGGGAATTATAAGCCGTGAGCCACCGGCGCCTGGCCTTGAGTAGTCACTATTATTTTACAACTTTGAAAGTACACGTAACGAGGCCGGGACGCGGTGGTCAGGGCCTGTAATCCCAGCACTTTGGGAGCCGAGACGGGCGGATCACGAGGTCAGGATGATCGAGACCATCCTGGGCCTAAAACGGTGAAACTCCCGTCTCTGATTAAGATAAAAATTAGCCGAGCGTGGTTGGCTGGGCGCCTGTAGTCCAGGCTACTTGGGTGAGGGCTGAGGCAGGAGACCCTTGCAACACGGGAGGCGGAGGCTGCAGTGGGCCGAGATCACGCCACTGCATTCCAGCCTGGGCAAGCGAGGCTCTTGTTAATTTTTTTTTCATGTAATTGCTGAAAAAATAAATAAGTTTAAATTTGCAAAACCATCCCGTTTTATGAGACAAACTTGAGAGTCGAGGTCGGAGTGGACCACGTTTCGAAGGTGTGTGGCCACGCCCAGGCAGGTCAGCCCCGCCCCCAGGTCGTCAGGCCCAGCCCTCTCCCGTCAGACCCCGCCCCACTGCCCTGCCGAGCGACCCTGGAGGTCGGGTCCATCCTGCAGTAAACGCACAACCGGGACGGAAGTGCCTCTGTGACAGCGGACCCAGGCTCGGAGCTCCAGACGCTGGGACAGGTGACCCGGGGCGGTAGCCAGCCGGATGGCCTTGCAGGTGGGGCGGAGGTCCCGGGGAGCTCCTCGGGCGCGGTTGTCCGTGGGCTCCGCGTGCCCCAGAGGGCGAGGCTCCGGCAGCGCGGGGGTTAACTAGAGCAGGTCCCAGGCTGCGCGGCGACGTCAGAGCTCGTTTACATAGCGCTCTTTTGGGTTACGCAGTCGTGGGCGGGGTCTGGAGGTCGCTGCGGACCAATCGCGTGCGTCTATGCAAATAGAGGCCGCGCTGGGGAACTCTGCTCCCGCTGGGTGAGAGTTGGCTGCTTTCGGGCCGTGCTGCCCGCGCGTCGTTTCTCCGTGCGCGTCGCCAGGCGTGTCCTCTCCGCGTGTCCACCCACAGGCCGCCCGCAGACCACCCCCGCCGCGCGCGGGACACGACGCCCCCCGGAGGACCCGCCCATCAACCCGGAAACCTGCGAGCTGCTTCTGCCGGAGGCCGATGCCCACCCGGGAGCCCCCAAAGACTCGCGGCTCCCGGGGGCACCTGCAGACTCATCCGCCTGGGCCTGGGCCCCCGGTGAGCCTGACCGGGAGGGGGTCCCCAGGCCGGGCCTCTAGGCAAAAGATTTAGTCCCCCCAGTTTGAAGGACTCCAGTTTCCCGACACCCCGATTTAACTCCAAACCACGATTCCTGTGGCAGCTGCAAGGACTGGCGCCTGGAGGCCTCAAAACCAGCGCCCCCCGCCCTCCGTGCCAGCCCCAGCCGGGACCCCACAAGGCAAAGCCCAGGAAGATTGTGTTTGAGGATGAGCTGCTCTCCCAGGCCCTCCTGGGTGCCAAGAAGCCTATTGGAGCCATCCCTAAGGGGCATAAGCCTAGGCCCCACACAGTGCCCGACTATGAGCTGTGAGTGTCCCCCATGTGATTCTTCATGTCTGAGATCAGAGAGGGGCACTGAGGCTGGGGCTTTGACAGTTGAATAAGAGTTTACCAAAGAGTAAAAAGAAAAGGATCCCTTGTGGGGTGAGTGGATCACTTGTGGTCAGGAGTTCGAGACCAGCCTGGCCAACATGGTGAAACCCCCTCTCTACTAAAAATACAAAAATTAGCTGGATATGGTGGCGCATGCCTGTAATCCCAGCTACTGAAGAGGCTGAGGTGGGAGAATTGCTTGAACCCAGGAGGTGGAGGTTGCAGTGAGCCGAGATCGCTCCACTGCACTCCAGCCTGGGCAACACAGCAAGACTCTATCTCAAAAAATAATAATAAAGGCGGGGCACGGTGGCTCACGCCTGTAATCCCAGCACTTTGGGAGGCCGAGGAGGGCAGATCACGAGGTCAGGAGATCGAGACCATCCTGGCTAACACGGTGAAACCCCGTCTCTACTAAAAATACAAAAAAACTAGCGGGGCGAGGTGGCGGGCGCCTGTAGTCCCAGCCACTCCGGAGGCTGAGGCAGGAGAATGGCGTAAACCCAAGAGGCGGAGCTTGCAGTGAGCTGAGAACCGGCCACGGCACTCCAGCCTGGGCGACGGAGCGAGACTCCATCTCAAAAAAAAAAATAAATATAATAATAATAATAAAAAGACAGGGAGAAAAGGAACATTTTTAGTAGGGGGCCCGGCATGGACAAAGGAAAGCAAATTACACTGACTGGGGGAAAGGGTGGGGTTCTTTACGCTCACATTCTGACCCCCTTCAACCTGGTAGTAAGTACCCACCGGTGAGCAGTGAGAGGGAGCGGAGCCGCTATGCCGCAGTGTTCCAGGACCAGTACGGAGAGTTCGTGGAGCTCCAGCGGGAGGTGGGGTGTGCACAGGCAAAGCTCAGGCAGCTGGAGGCCCTGCTGAGCTCCCTGCCCCCACCCCAAAGCCAGGTCAGCACTGGGGAGAAAGCCCAGCCCCGCAGCCCTTCTGAGTGGCCCGACACAAGCCTGTGGGACACCCACTGGATCCAGATTTCTGGGACTCTTTCTACTCTAGGTTGGCTGGGCGCCACACGACACATGGCTTAGGTCAGCCCTTGAAGTCCCCACTAGATGGGCATTTAGCGTGTCTGAGCTTCAGTTTCCCCATCCCTCCTTGAGTTCAACTCTCCCTAAACCCCCTTTCTACTCCTCCCCTTGCAGAAGGAGGCCCAAGTTGCAGCCCGGGTTTGGAGGGAGTTTGAGAAGAAGCGAACGGTGAGTCTTGCACCCCATATCTTGGTCTTGCACCCCTGAGACTTCTGTGAGGCTGGGGTGCCTGTGTCGGTTTTTGTTTTGTTTTGTTTTGTTTGTTTTTGAGACAAAATCTCGCTCTGTCGCCCAGGCTGGAGTGCAATGGTAAGATCTCAGCTCACTGCAACCTCAGCCGGCCGGGTTCAGGCGGTTCTTCTGCCTCAGCTGGGATCACAGGCGCTCACCACCACGCCTGGCAAATTTTTGTATTTTTAGTAGAGACAGGGTTTCACCACATTGGCCAGGCTGGTCTAGAACTCCTGACCTCAAGTGTTCCGCCCACCTCGGCCTCCCAGACTGCTGGGATTACAGGCATGAGCCACCTCGCCCAGCTCACCCAGTGGCCTGTGCCCAGTTTCAAGGAGAGAAAAATGAGGCTCGGAGAATGAAAGAGGGTTGAGCAGCTTGAGGGCCACAGGGCAGACTGCTGCAAGGACTTCCGGGTCTCGCCCTGCCTAGGATCCTGGCTTCCTGGACAAGCAGGCTCGCTGCCACTACCTGAAGGGTAAACTGAGGCATCTCAAGACTCAGATCCAGAAATTCAATGACCAAGGAGACAGCGAGGGCTCTGTGTACTTCTGAGTGCCCCTGCAGATGGGCAGAGGGCTGCATGGGGATGCAGGTCCCTTGCTTTTCTTGGTATCTCCTCAGCCTTTCCTCTTACAGCTCCCCCTACCAGGGGTAGCTTTCTCCAGGATTGCAAATGCCTCTTCATTTTGGACTCAGCGCTGACAGCTCCTCCTCCAGGAAGGCCTTCCAGGTCTTCCTCCTCTGGGTCCTCTAGCTCTGACCCTATAGGGACTCCAGATCTCAACCTGTTCCCTGGAAGTAGGGCCTGCTCTCCATCCCAGTGAAATAAACATGTATTAGACACCTACTGAGTATAATTACTTAACACTTCTGATTTCACTCAAATTATTTTATTCGGTTGGCTCTTTTTTTTTTTTTTTTTTTTTTTTTTTTTTTTTTTGAGACGGAGTCTCGCGCTGTGTCACCAGGCTGGAGTGCAGTGGCGCGCTCTCCGGCTCACTGCAAGCTCCCGCTCCCAGGTTCACGCCATTCTCCTGCCTCAGCCTCCGAGTAGCTGGGACTACAGGCGCCCGCCACGACGCCCGGCTAGTTTTTTTTTTGTATTTTTAGTAGAGACGGGGTTTCACCATGTTAGCCAGGATGGTCTCGATCTCCTGACCCTCGTGATCCACCGCCTCGGCCTCCCAAAGTGCTGGGATTACAGGCTTGAGCCCACCGCGCCCGGCCTCGGTTGGCTCTCTAATCTGTTTTTTTTTTTTTTTTTTTGGCGATGGAGTTTCGCTCTTTCACCCGGGCTAGAGTGCAGTAGTACAGTCTTGGCTCACTGTAACCTCTGCCTCCCAGGTTCAAGCAATTCTCCTGCCTCAGCCTTCTGAGTAGTTGGGGATTACAGGTGTGCACCACCACGTTCAGCTGATTTTGTACTTTATAATTAGAGATGAGGTTTTGCCATTGTTGGCCAGGCTGGTCTCGAACTCCTGACAGGTGGTCCACCTGCCTTGGCCTCCCAAAGTGGTGTGATTATAGGCATGAGCCACCACACCAGGCCTTAATCTTGTTTGGGTTCTGATGTCCTTGGGAGAAACCTCTGGGGCCAGTCCTGTCACATGATCTCAGGCCAGCCAATCAGACCACCATTCCGTGGGCCACAGCAACTGGTTTATGGAGCGCCTGAGATTCCAAACTAGCCAGTGAGATTCCACAGCAGGATTTGGAACTGGGAGAATCTAATTAAAGCAGAGCCAAGGATGGAAGATCAATTTCCCAAGATGCCCTTTGGGAGCCCCTGGATCAAGCCATACCTGAAACCCTTAGGTGTTTTAAGTTCTATGAACTCAGTCGTCCCCCTTTTGTGCCTGAGTCAATCTGACTTCAATTTTTTTTTCCCTCACATGGAAACTAAAAACTGTTTCAGAGATTGACGTTTGGGAGGCAGGGACCTAGAAGGCCAAGACTTTGAAATGTGGGCTTCACTGGTGATACGGAATCATGTGGGGTACCAGGGACTCTCCCGTCCCAGCCTCGGGAGTCTGTGGCACCACTCTGTGGGGGAAAGGCACCTGTGGGAATTGGGCACCAGAGCTGTAGGGGTAGAGAGAAGGGCCGAATGGTGGTGGGGGTGGCACCTCTCGCTGATGTCCTGCCAAGAAAGAGGCAAGTT